AAGTCCACTGATAAGAGATGTATGAGAGTATATCAGCATGTGTCAGGTATGGGCAGTGAGGGGTATCAATTACGCTTAGCTGACGGCGGAGTGTTCGCCTACTCGGAGTTAATGGTGCAGGCAAGACCACTACCTTCAGAATGCTTTGCGGTTTGATAAGACCAAGTTCTGGTCATATCAGTCTCATTGGTCAGCCCCTCCGAGGCAATGTGCACGAGGTGACGTGCAGAGTAGAGAGCTTCGCTTTCGGCTTACTTTGGCGTCAGATCCGCAAGTCCATAGGATATTGCCCGCAAGAGAACCCCTTGTTGCAAGGCCTTACTGCAAGAGATCATCTTTATATGTAGTTTGCCTGGTCGGGTCTTAATCGGGAAACACTCAGTGATTTGTAGGTATGCTCGTATACGTGGGGTACCATCTGATAAGATTCCACACCACGTCGAAGACCTCGTGAAGATATTGAGGCTTGAGTGAGTTGTCCTGGATGTGTTTCATCCTAGGAGTCTTCAGACACTACATCGACAAGGAGGCAGTGAAGCTCTCCGGAGGCAATCAGAGGAAGCTGTGCGCTGGTATAGCGCTCGTGGGCCATCCATCTATCGTATTCTTGGACGAGCCCACGACTGGGGTCGATCCTGAAGCTCGGAGGTAGCGCCAGCAGTTGTTCGAAAATGCTGTATCGCTCCGTCTCAGGCGTATCTGGGATATGATCCACAAGATAGCACATGATCGTCATAAGACGTCTGCAGTCATACTCACAACTCACAGTATGGAAGAGGCAGATGCTCTATGCGAGACCATGGTCATCCAGGTATCACCCCGATGAATCTGATTATGAGCCTCTTCACGTCGTTGTTGGACGATAGTATTTCCTTCAGGCGAATGGACAATTCCGCTGTCTAGGAACATCCCAGCAGATCAAGTCAGACTACGGCAGTGGCTACAGGCTATGGATACACTTTCGTGAAGCCTCTGATGATGAAAAGGAGCAGAATTTGCAGCAACTTCTAGCATATGACGACATCACAATGGCTACTATTCGTGATGGCTATGTTACTCTTTCGGACACTGACTTAGAATCTCGACTCTCGAAGTTGGGTGAGTTATAGCTTAGAGTAGATCAGACTGATCTGATCAGTGATGTCCACTTATTTTAGGCATCGAGGGCTGTCGTTTAGTGGATAGCGTGCTCACTGCTGGAACTCTGGACGGAACACTCAACCGTACCTTCAATCGGGGTGCTCTGGCATCTGCCGTCGTCCGAGCTCTTCAGCATATGAAGGCTCTAAGGTGGCTCATGATCAATGTATCCCCCGAGTGTCAAACTTTGGAGGAAGTTGGCGAATTTGCGCTTCCGCGCGATATCGACTTGGGATTCATCTTTTCGAAGTTGTCGCCTGCACACGTCCAGGAAGAGCGAGGAATGCATGATTTCCAGCTCTCCCAGACGACTCTCGAGCAGATATTTAACAGGATCGCCCATGACGAAGCTCATCCTATCCAGAGAGAACTATAGATTCCCTAAGTCGAACACTTCCGTGCTGTTCCAGACTATCACTTGCTTCATTCCCATTGACTTGTGTTCCTCACAAGTGTTATAAAATGTAATGACATTGCATCCGTGCGAGGTGAAGCAGGTCGGCTGGCCGTTCTCATGACTCACGAGTTGGGAGGTACACTAGGTGTACTACACCTACATGTGAAACACTCCACTGTGCGGAGACTGCACAGCAGTGCTTTTCACTGGCTTCTTGGGCATCACATCCACAGCTTTCGCAGAGATATTGATATCTAATATTCAAGGGTAAGCTTGCCATTCGGATTTCAGTTGTCATTGACCACTGGTCAAGGTTTAGACCGTTGAGTGGTTTAAACCTTCGCCGCATGAAGTTGGCGTTTGGGGGATCCATCGGGTAATCCGCAGCGGCATGTGACACGCCGCAAGTATATCGGTTACACCGATTCGGTGTGTTTGCTGAGTAGGTTACGGTTTTGAGCTCACATGCAGAGGCTCTCTGCTAAAAAGCTTTTGGTACGACTCTTGATGACGATGACTTCATCTTGAGTCTTGAACTCCTCAAGCGCAAACGTTCCTCAAGCGCAAGGCGAGCTCCGCTTCTCCGTCCCGAACTTCGGGAGCAATACCATTGCTGCAGTTCGATCGCAGACTTCTACGGCAGGAGTTTTACCGAAATTGATGTTCCTATGTGCGGAAAAGAAGTTACTATTATTTCGAAATCGAAGTTCCTAAATCTCTTTGCCGAAATTGGAGTTCCTAAATCGATGCGCCACCGAAATTGAAGTTCCTAAATCGATATGATGACGAAATTGAAGTTCTCTAAATCGCGCACCGTCGAAATTGAAGTTTCAATATGGGTATCTTGGGGAACGGACTCGCTCGCCTGGTGAAGTTGAAGTTTTTGATGTTGAAATAGAGGTTGAAAAGGTGTAGATTCTTCAGCATGACTGCCACAGGTGGGCGGTCTATCGCAGCCCCTGGCCAGGCGAGACAGTCAGGGACTCTGATCCAACATGGAATAGGAATGACATTGCCATTGTCAGCTGATGATTTGCTCAATATGAGCCGCTGAGCGGCTCATTGAGAACTCAACAGTGTTGAGTTATCGGATGATTGTCCTCTGCCTCGGAAGGCATAGTTGAACTCAAACCCTTGAAATTGGGAAAGTCTGACTTAAGTCAATCAATAGTGGCCGACTAGCAGCCGTTTCATGGCGTGCGCTATATAGATAGGCATACTCGGCACAAAACTTCCACAGAAATTCTAATTCGACTAACTTCAAGTCCTTAACACAACGAGATTAATATAATAAAAGTGAATACGTTTTAAAACACAAGATGGGCAGATATAAACACTAGACATATGTCCATTTCTGGCTTGAAGAGTTTAGGACCATATGTTCAAGACATCTTAAGATCATAGTTTTTGAGAATTTGCACCAGATCACGTCGATGAGGACGAGTCGACCCCGCTAATCGTAAGGGTGCAACGTAGAGGCGCTGACACGTCGAAATTAATGCTGCACATAAAGTGAGGGCATCACCTGTTGTCGGGGAGAGTTTTTGACAGTACACTCCTGTTCACTCTGCGAGAAGTACAGTTGGCTATCAAAGATCACTTGAGACTCACTTTTTGGGAATTTATGGATTGACTTGAATGTCTCGATCTTGAATTCAAGTGTCTTTCAAAGGCTCTCAGGATGCGCATCCCCTGGACCTGGATTACCGAATATGCATTGTCTAACCTAGCCGCGTTGGAGATAATATGATACGGAGCCAACGCCGACTGGGCGTAATTTTTGATGCAACACTTCTCCTCAACGACTCTAACAGGGGCATCACAAAAACGATTCTCGAGAAATCGAGTGAGCTGCGGCAAACTTGCGGCCGTTCATCAGAGAAAGCCGAGTTATAAGACGTATGTCGTTGAACTAAAGAGTTATGCGAAGCTGATCTATTCCTAGAAATTCATTCACCTGCTGAGCCGACTCCTTCTTCCCCATCATTGCATCCATAATTCTCTTCCGTCGATACGCAGACGTGAGGAGCTTGAAGCCAATGTTTTCGGTGTCGCCGAGGTCGCCACGAATCAAAGATTTGAACACCTAAGCAGAAGACCTATCAAGCTGAAAGATCATAAAATTCAGACCTCAAACATTGCAGCTGAACTCGGATCACTCGACTGGTGACCTCTACGTAACTAATAGTCAGCAAAAACGTGAAGGCACTCGAAAGAGTGATAACTAGTGATATTACTATGCTAAGGAACTCGTGAAATTCGATTTCCCCAGAACCATCTTCGTCAATATTAGCAACCATTTTCTCCACATCTGAGGGCTTTTCCGCCAGTCCGAGGGCCACCATAACCTAAACTGACGCCTTACCGATAGGGGCATCCAACCGAAACAGGCTCAAATAGAAGATCGAACGACTACTGAGTGAAGCTGTGTCATCGTTTTGATTCGACCCTCCAGCAGAAACGTCCGCACTGACCTCCTCGAGTTCACTGACATCTATAGATCCGGAACCGTCATCGTCAAGAGCATCAAAATACGTTCGAAGCATCTTCCGTTCTTGGTCATCAAAATCAATCATACACCCTCGACCTACCCATAACAGCAGCCGATCTACTCAATGGAACACCCCCGACCAAACACCCGGATTTCGAAAGACACCCGGATCTACGTGAGACCAACTAAGTTAGGAACCTCGTGTGCAAGTTGCGCGATTTAGGTCGAAACACTGGCGAGAAACCCCCAGGATGCCCCATGCTATGGGGCTCATAGAGCTTATTCTTTCGAGCTTACGAATGAAGGCCTCAGAGCTAGTCAGATAAGACCAACAATTCACTCAGATTCAAACCGGAGTCCGCAGCAGTCCAGAATGGGGCTTTGCTGGATCAACGCTGAAAGTGGAGGACCTCGTGAGGCGAGCCATTGGCGTTCCTTGAACTCGTGGATCAATCGACAGCATTCGTATCGTGGCATCTTGGGCAAGTCCTGCAATTGTGATGATCGTGTTCAGATAATGTGTCGAGCTCAGATCCTGCTTACGAGGTGTGGATAAGAAGAGATGAGATTCCTCCTAGGTTGTCGAGCTAGAGCTTTCATCGTTGAATTCTGGAGACAAACAGAATGCAATGCAGTGAGTTGTAGTTCTCATAATTCTCACCTGTTCGTAAGAGACGTTTTTCACCTTCAGTTGAGTCGGCTGATGGCAAGTTAAATTTGAGTTAGGCAACATGGCACTTTCTGACACATAAAACCCTGCTCAGATGATACTGTAACTTTCGTCTATCCGAAATCTGCCAAGTACCGAAGCCATCCAAGAAATCTTGTATAAACTCGTGGAATTCTCATGCACAAGGTGCGCTGCCCCTTGAGTGCACCCGCGATCAGTTGGGTATACTCATGGATCAGGCTATCTGAGCACTGGCATATTTCAACAGCTTCCGGACATCTAGTTCGTCATTGGAACCATCAATTTCATTGGGGCTCGCGAAACCAACAGCTTTACGGTTCACTCTCGAGCAGATCCAACGATACGACCAGATCCGATAGGATCTACGGAAGAATCTTCGTTTCGGATCGTAGCAGTGGCATAGCGGCCCCATAACGTTCGATTTCCCCAAAGACACGGATCCGAGGCAAAACTGTCGACTTGAATTTCCTATTTACCTTAGATGTACTTGAAAGTAATAGAAAAGTCACGAAATTGAATTTCCTATTTGCCTTAGATTTACTTGGAAGTAATAGAAAAGTCAAGAAATTGAATTTCCTATTTGCCTTAGATTTACTTGGAAGTAATAGAAAAGTCACGAAATTGAATTTCCTATTTACCTTAGATGTACTCGATAGTACCTCTAAAGTATTTTTTCATCGACGGGACTGAGGTCGATGGTAACGGAGAATATTCACTATGGTTCGACAGTCCAGGACTAGCTCAGCTAGTCAAGCTCGTGTTATCAATCAACACATATGCGAAACATGTGCAGCTGGAAAGTCGCTCCCAGGCGATGGGATGTCTCTGGAGCCTCTGTGACAGAGAGGCTCGTTCCTCCATTCCCAAGGCCGGGCACCAATCCAGAGAAATCCACTCCGATACCAATGAGCCGTATTCTCGGGTGACAGATGGAAGTAGTCGGTACTATATTGTACCGGCGATCGACAGCTATTCGGGGTTCGTTGCAATTCGCACAACACTGAATACGCCTATCGCCTCAGATGCCAGTGATTTGCTTTCATTATTGGCGGAAAATTTCCGCATAGCACCGTTAATACTACCCAGTGTGTAGTACACACCGATATGGGAAGTTAGTACACGTCGAGCTCCATAGCATCACTGCTGGAGACATGGGACACCGTTCACTTTACCACACCAAGGGGTAGTTCGTTCTGCAATGGAAAGATGGAAAGACTCCATCATTTCGTGAACGAATACTTGCGAACCCACAATAATGGTGAGGAAATGACGTATACGCGTTTCTGCGAGTTGTCTCGCAAAGCGGTGAGATTGTGGAGCACTACGAGAAGAAAAGAGAGTAGCCCACATGGGATGATATTCCGCTTCCAGACGGATCCTGGAACGCATGTGCCTCGTGAATGCAGGACCGATTACGAGTATGTCCGACAATGTTTGGTTCCGTACACAGCCCCGAAGCTTTCTGTTGCACCGCGAGTCCTATATCACCCTCCAATTCAAGGTGGCAAGCTGGAAAGGTGCTGGATAGCTACCGTTGTGCCAGTA